ATGAGATTTCCCTCCCCAACTAAACTGCTATCTCTATTATTGTCATTTGTAATCATATGCAATATAGTAAAATGTGAAGCAAAGGGTTCTTGCAACCAAAATGACAAACAAATACTTTTTTGTTTTAAGCATGGACTCACTGATCCATCAGGCATGCTGTCAACATGGTCTAAGAAAGATGATTGTTGTGAATGGAAAGGAGTTCGTTGTGACATCAGTGGTAGAGTCACTGATATCAGCCTCCCTTGTTCCCCGGAAGATGATATCATTTTGGACAATCAAATTAACAAAGCACATTGTTTGTCAGGTGAGTTGCATATTTCTATATTTGAGCTTGAATTTTTGAGCTACTTGGATTTGAGCGGTAATTACTTCAAAGCTATACACTTGCCCTTGGATTGTCAAAACCTGTCCTTAGTTAACAGTCCTCATAGAAGTGAAAACTTTTCCAATGTTGTCCATCTTGACTTGTTCGGAAATGAGAATCTTGTAGTTGCTGATTTGAGATGGCTTCTTCGTCTCTCATCCTTAGAATATCTCAACTTGGAATACACTAATCTCCACAAACAAACTCAATGGGTTCAAATTATATATGGGTAATTGCCTACTTGAAAGCGCAAGCCCATCTTTTCAATATGCCAATTTCACTTCCCTTGAAAATATTGATCTCTCTCACAATGATTTTTTCTCAGAAATGCCTAGTTGGTTGTTCAATCTAAGTAGCCTTTCTTATTTAGATCTTAGGTACAATCGTTTCTATGGCCAAATACCCGAAACTTTATTGAATCTTCAAAACTTGCATGGATTGTATTTAGGAAACAACAAGTTGAATGGAACAATTCCAAATTGGTTCGGCCAACTTGGAGGCCTAAGCAACATTGATCTCTCCATGAATTTATTTACTAGCCTTCCTGAAATTTTGGGGAAACTTTCTAATTTGGAGTTGTATCTGATAAAAATTTTGCCAAGGATTCAAAGTTACAAGAACTAGGGTTGGGTTCACCCTCCTTTGTCTTTGATTTTGAATCCCACTGGGTTCCTCCTTTTAAACTTCAAAGACTCGACTTGCAGTATGCAGATGTTAAACTTCTTCCATGGTTGTATACACAAGAATCTCTAATTACTTTATCAATTGTATACTCCTTCTTTAAAAATTTACCTCAAGAAATGTTTTGGAGTTTGGCAAATAATTGTGCAGATCTCTATCTATCCAACAATAACATGACTTGGGACATGTCAAATGTGTTGTTGAACTCTAAAAATGTATTGCTGAATGGAAATGGTTTGAGTGGTGGTCTTCCCAAATTAACGGCAAATGTGAGGAGTTTTCAGATAAGTGGAAACAATTTGTGTGGATCTCTTTCTTCTTTCTTATGCCAAAATATGAAAGAGCAAAGTGATTTGAAGTACTTGGATGTCTCTAATAATCATTTATCTGGAGAGCTTAGTGAATGTTGGGAAAATTGGAAATCACTTATTCATGTTAATTTAGGAAGAAATAATCTAACCGGCATGATTCCACACTCAATGGGTACCTTATCCAATCTTTTGTCACTGCATATATATAATAATAAGTTGCATGGAGAGATACCTATGTCATTAAAAATTTTACCAAAACTTGTGATTGTTAATCTGGGTAGAAACAAAATTTCCGGAAATATATCAAATTGGATTGGAGTGGATATAAAAGTTCTTCAATTAAGATCAAATGAGTTTAGTGGCGATATTCCTCTACATATATGCCAACTATCTTCTCTCTTGGTCTTAGATCTCGCAAGTAATAGATTATCAGGGACAATACCTCATTGCCTACATAATATCACTGCCATGATTTCAAATAATGATTTAGAAAGTGATGAGCTTACAATTGCTATCAACTTTATAAGTATAGAATACTTGTATAGAATCGATGTTCCATTGTTCGCAAAGGGAAGCGACTTAAATTATTACAAGTATATGCGTGTTATTGACTTTTCTAACAACCATTTGTCGGGTGGAATTCCTTTACGAGTATTCAGTCTCACTGCATTACAATCCTTAAACTTGTCACAAGATCACTTAATTGGAACCATACCAGACGAAATAGAAAACACGAGAGCATTAGAGTCACTTGATTTCTCAAATAACACACTATCAGGAGAAATTCCACAAACCATGTCTGTTTTGTCTTTTCTTGGTGTGTTAGAATCTCTAATTCAAATTTTCGGGGTCAAATTGTTAGGTTTATATTTATTTATTTATAATTTATGTTGAGTCAGTCCTATTTTTAAGTCTTTGTTTTACTGTCAGTTATAGCATTTGCCAAGTCAAGGTTGTTAGCATGTTAGTAGCAGTGAGGACCAAGTATTTAGGAGGCTGTTATTTTGTAACTGGTGTAGTATATATTGCTACATCTGAATTAATAATAAACATAATTTTTGAACTTGGCATTTCGTTTGTTAATTTTGACAAATGCTATCAGAGCGGTTATACAAAAACTGACAGCAATCTAGTGATTGGGAAGGGAAACACAAAGAGAGTAATCAAGGGAGGATCTCTGGGTAGGGTAAACACAGAGAGAACCGAGAGAGGATTACAGAAAGTGAGTGCGTTCCAAAAGAACTGAGAATGGGTGACGCAAATTTCGCGAAGGCTTGCATTCCGATCTTTGATGGAGATTATGATCACTGGAGTCTCTTGATGGAGAACTTTGCTGCGTTCCAAGGAGTATTGGAAGGTAGTGAATAAGGGCTTCACAGAACCAGCCGCAGATACAACACCAACCGCATAACAAATTAAAGCTTTGGAGGAAATGAGGTTAAAAGATTTTAAGGCTAAGAATTATCTATTTAGTAGCATAGATAAAATTGTCCTTAAGATAATTACAAAGAAGGGAACAGCCAAGGAACTTTGGGAATCCATGAAAACCAAATTCCGAGGCAGCGCCAGGGTTAAAAGAGCTCAACTTCAAGCTTTAAGGAGAGAGTTTGAGGTGTTGGAGATGAAGGAAGGAGAAACGATTAACGATTACTTTGGCAGAGTCATGATTGTTTCTAATTCCATGAGAAATTGCGGAGAATTGGTTGAAGAGGTGAAGATTGTTGAGAAAATACTTAGGACTCTAACGGACAAGCTTAATTATGTGGTGTGTTCGATAGAAGAGTCTAAGGATTTGGATGAATTGACCGTTGATGAGCTGCAAAGTTCTTTGTTGGTGCACGAACAGAAGCTGGTTAGGAAAACGATCACAAATGATCAAGCTCTAAGGGTTGGAGTTGAGTATAATAGAGGAAGAAACAGAGGTCGTGGTAATTATCAGGGAAGAGGTAGAGGACGCAATAGGTCAAGAAGCAAGGAAACGATTGAATGCTTTCATTGCCACAAATTAGGCCATTACAGGAACGAGTGTCCTGAGTGGTCCCATCAGGCGCATTACACAAGTGAGTTCAGTGAAGAAATATTGTTGATGACTATGGAGAACGGTGAGCAACATGAGGCTCTGTGGTTCTTAGACTCGGGTTGTAGCAACCATATGACGGGCAGCAAACATTGGTTTACACACCTTGATGCATCTTTTGCCTGCAATGTCAAGTTAGGCAATGGCATGAAGTTGGAGGTTCTTGGCAAAGGGAGCATAAAGGTGAAAATTGATGGTACTGTTGCTGTTATCCAAGATGTTTACTATGTTTCGGGACTGCAGAATAATCTATTCAACATAGGGCAGATGCAGGAGAAGGCTCTAATATTTCTGATCAAGCAGGGAACTTGCAAGGTGTTCCATGAGAACAAAGGCTTGTTGTTTGAGACATCGATGAAGGCAAACAGAATGTTTGTGCTTCAAGCCATATAGTTAGGCAGTAAAGAAGCTGAACAAGGGCAATGCTTGATGGTGTCAAAATCTGAAAAGGAGAATCTCGAGCTCTGGCACAGGCGTTTTGGACATTTGAATTACCAAGGCCTAAGAAAGCTTCAGCAGAAATAAATGGTTCAAGGCTTTCCGCAGTTGAAACAAAGTAGCACCCCTGATGTATGCTCAATCTGTCTTATTGGGAAGCAACATAGAAAATCGTTTGCACAAAAGAGCTCGTGGTAGGCTACAGGGAAGTTACAGCTGATTCACACAGACTTGTGCGGTCCTATCACACCCGACTCTAACGGCGGTAAGAAGTACCTTTTTACCTTGATAGATAACTACAACAGGAAACTATAGACTCACTTCCTTGTAGCAAAATCTGAGGCCTTCGAGGTGTTTCAGAAATTCAAGGTGTTTATCGAGAAGGAGTCAGGAACATAGATAGCTTGCTTAAGAACTGATAGGGGAGGCGAATTTTTGTCTACAGAATTCAAAGAGTTTTGTGACAAGGCTGGCATCAAAAGGCAGTTGACGACGGCTTTCACTCCACAACAGAACGAGGTAGCTGAACGGAGAAACCGAACCATTATGAATATGGTTAGGTGTATGTTGAAGGAAAGCCAAGTGCCAAGCAAAATGTGGTCGGAAGCTGTAGCTTGGGCCACTCACATTTTGAACAGATGTCCGACTTCGATCAATCCAGAAAAATCTCCTCAAGAACTTTGGAGTGGTTTACCACCATCAGTGGATCATCTCAAAGTTTTTGGAAGCCTATGTTATGCTCATGTGGCCGACCAACAACGCAAGAAATTGGATGATAAAAGTGTTAAGTTTATTTTCCTAGGTGTGTCACAAGAATCTAAAGCATACAGATTGTATAATCTTCAAACTAAGAAAATTATGGTGAGTAGGGATGTTGTTTTTGATGAGTCCAAAGGATGGCAAGACATCAATGAGATTTTAGCTGAGTCTACTCAGCTTAGATGGGAAGGCAGTGCAGATGAATTCTGGGAGTCTGAGGATGAAGCAGAATCTGTCCAAAATGACGACCAGGACACAATAATAGCAGCAACGGGCTAGAACTCTGTAGCTGCAGCAGCTGACGGCAATGAACTGACCTCATTTGAGAGCACGCAGATTGAAATAGAAGAGGAAGAGGAGGATGCTATTGAAAGCCTCCCACAGGCTGAACTAAGGCCAAGAATTAGAAGTAGGCCGGTATGGCATGATGATTATGTAATGGGCAACTTCTGTGAGCAGCTTGCACTATCCGTAGATGGGGCTGATCCAAGCAGTTATGAGGAAGCTAAACAAGAGGAGAAGTGGAGAAAAGCCATGGCGGCTAAAATGGAAGCAATCAACAGAAATGATACATGGGAGTTGGTTTGCTTACCATCACAAGCTAGTCCAATTGGAGTGAAGTGGGTTTATAAAACCAAACTCAATGAGCATGGCAAAGTGGAGAAGTATAAAGCTCGACTTGTGGTGAAGGGTTATGCTCAAAAACACGGTATAGATTATAATGAAGTTTTCGCACCGGTAGCCAAGTGGGATACGATCAGATCACTATTGGCTCTTGCTGGACACCATGGATGGGAAATTCATCAGCTTGATGTGAAAAGCGCCTTCTGTAACACCCCCTTTCTATGCCCCCAAATATCACAATAAATCATTTAGGCATAAATTCAAAATTTTATCAGAGTACATTTATAACATGGCATAAAAGAGGAGTATCACATTATCACAAAAATTCCACACATACAACACC